CAGTGGTCAGACCAAATGTGCCTATTTCTGCCAGCCAGATGAGAGCTGGCTGATGACAACTCCATCAGCTGCTTGGTCAGGCTGGACGCCATGTTCTGTGCCTTCAAATCTCTTGACAAAGATGGAACTGGACAGATCCAAGTGAACATCCAGGAGTGGCTGCAGCTGGCTATGTATTCCTGAATGAGAAGTCCAGACCTGCCCCTCAGTGCTCACCCTGGAGCCACCTTGGACCCTGATCCTGTCTGCAGTCATGTTTTCATGGTCATGTCTTCTCCCCACAGGTCTTTCTTTGCCCAGCCCTTGTACCAGCTTCCCAGTCAGCAGCCAGGGCCCAGCATGCCCCAGCTTGCCATACCTTGAGCTACCCCTGCCTCTAAAACACACTAGCGTGTTCTGCCCAAAGGTCACCCCATCCCATCACACCCATCCCACACCCTCTCTATCACCTGGTCTCCTGTACCTGTGCCAAAACCCAGCACTTGAGTTGCTTCCATGTCCCAAGGGCCCTGTCTCATTTCTGAGAGGATCACTCCTGTCCCTGCATACCCTGGCACACACTTATTCACCGTTACCACCCAGGCAGCCAAATAATCTCCAGGCTACAGCAGGCCATACACCCTCTCCCTCTCTGCAGCTCTGGCTCACAACCTGCAGCTTTTCCAGCTAGAGAAATAAGTGGGAAGCATGAATTTTGACCAACAGCAAAGCCACCTGTTATGGTGTCTAAACTGGTATTTGTTTCTTCTGTCCCTTCAAGGTCTGTGACCTGCAGCAAGGTCAGACCTACGTGTTCAGAGTGCGGGCAGTGAATGCCAGTGGGCCAGGGAAGCCGTCAGACATGTCAGAGCCTATACTCGTGGAGGCCCGACCAGGTGAGCCTCTACCTCCCAGCTGCTCAGCGTAGTACATGCTAGCCCTTGGTAATAGCTTGAGGGGAGAATACTCACTGTATGTGGTATGTGTGTATGTGTATCTGGGGGATATGCATGTAAGTTGACACATGTGCATACATGTGAGCATGCATATGTGCATGTGTGGTATGTGCTTGTGCACATATGTGTATAGGTTGGTGTATGTAAGTACATATGTACCTATGTATGTGTGTGCACATATGTATGTGTGGGATGTGTGTGTTGTGTATTTACGCATGGGTGGAGGCATATTTGGAAGAATGAATTGCAGTTTTTCATTTCTTGTATTTTTACAATGATTGTTCTTTGACAATTCATACATGTATATATAAAGCATTTTGATCATATACACTCCATTGCCCGCTCATCTCCTCTGGCTGAACCCTTTCTTCCTCCAACAAGTTGCCCCATCATGTTCGAAAGCAGAGGTTGATTGGGCTCTGCGCCTGCTCTAAGGCCCTGCACAGAAGATGCTTTGACTCTGCCTGGTGTGCAGGGCTTGTTCTAAGGGTGGCAGATAGTGTCCAGGAGGGGCCAGTTGTCTGTGTTCCTGCTGAGGTTGGATCAGAAGGTTGTAAAGCCTCTGATGATTTTCTTGATTGCAATGAGCTTCCTAGAGGTGATCATGCAAAGAGACATCTCTGGACTAGAGACCAGCTCACAGGACACACAGCTAGATGTGTGCCTGGGTTAAGGAAGGTTATGGAGCCATGTGGGTCTCTCCCTTCCCTCGCGGGTCGTTGGCCACTGATCCACGAGAACAAAGGGAGCAGAGGCGGCGAGCAGGGTCAGGACGGCCATGAGTACGACGGAAAAAAACCTTCCTGGAGTCAGCTTCAGTGAGACAGCTCGTTTATTTGGGGGTGAGGTGGGGGTCGGGGGAAAATACAGGGTGAAGATGGCAGCCAAAGCGTCACCTGATAGGTGTTCATAGTATGCTTTATTTGCATGTGGTAGAGGGACCCTATCATGTAGAGGGGGGAGGTGGGATGGAGTGGCTGTAGTGCAATGCCTGATTATCACACAGGAAAAAACCTAGGGGCAGCTCTTGCAGGTAACTATGCCAAAGGTTATGTTCCAAATAAGGCCAGGCATCTGAGCTTGGAGACACTTTCCAAATAAGGTCAGGCAGAGAGTAGGAAGCCCCTGCTGAGAAAGGGAGTCCTCCATTCAGCACCGAGCTCAGGGAGCTACCTGGACATGGTAGACTTCGACCTTAAATGGCAGGGTCCCCCAACAGAGCCACAGGCTGAGACGTCCAGGGTTTATTTCTCCCGAGGCCTCTCGCTCCCCTCTGTATTTTCTTATCCCCTTTCTCATCCTTTGATAACCCAGGAGTGTCTATATTACTGACTTAAGTTCCACTCACCAACTGGGCTGAACTTTGTTGACTGTCCTTAACTTCTTTTTTAAAAAAGATTTAATTTCTTAATGTGTATGAGCATTTACCTGGCCTGCATGAATGTGTGTACATGCCTGGTGCCTTTAGAGGCCAGAAGATGGTGTTGGATCCCCTGGAGTTACAGATGGTTGTGGGCTACCATGTGGGTGCTTGGAACTAAACCCAGGTCCTCTACAAGAGTAACCAGTACTCTTTACCACTGAGCACCTCTCCAGGCCCCATCCCTAACTTCTAAGGGATGTACTCTGAATGTCTCCAGCCTATCCCTAGCTTCTAAGTAATTTATTCTGAATGTCTGGTGTCAGGTCAGGTGTTTGCCTTGGACAACACATGGCAGATAAATAGCAGCCCTCATCCCCAGCAGAATCATAATGGCTGAGCTGGAGAGGAAGCTGTAGAAGTTTGACCATGTAGATGACATCAGCACAGCCTGCTGAACTGTCCATGTCAGCTGGCTCCTGGAGGGGTGCTGCCCTTCCAGGCCTCTCCGGTCCGTCCTGGGTGGACACTAAGCAAAACTGATGATTTGATATAAGACAAGCTTCTGCCTGTGCCACCCCCTCTCCAAAAATGGACTCCAGATAACAGTGTTCCCGAGGCTCCCTTGCCTTCTCCTCCCCTACAGGCACGAAGGAGATCAGTGCTGGTGTGGATGAGGAGGGCAACATCTACCTTGGGTTCGACTGCCAGGAAATGACGGACGCCTCCCAGTTCACTTGGTGCAAGGCCTACGAGGAGATCACAGATGAGGACCGGTTCCAGGTTCACACTGAGGGAGACCAGTAAGTTGTGAGGAGTCAGAGGCTGCGAACCTTTGGGGTCTGCAGACAGAGAGGGCTAACTTTCCCTCTCTTCTTTCTCTCAGCTCGAAGCTGTACCTTAAGAATCCAGATAAAGTGGACATGGGAACTTACTCTGTGTCTGTAAGCGACACAGATGGCGTGTCTTCCAGCTTCGTTTTGGATGAGGGAGGTAATGTGTTTCAGACACCAGCTGGCCCTTCTCAGCTTTTTGTCATGTCAGAGATCGACTCTGATATTGAGAAGACACATTTGGTAGAGAGGAGGCTGGCGTGGGAACTCAGGAGCCAAAATTACTTTAGGAATTCAGCAAATCCAGAGCTAGGCTGTTGTTGCTTTGTCCTGTGGTGTGAAGCGTCACACTGGGAAAGCAGAGCCCCCTTTAAACAGACCTCACCATCTCAGTAAGGAACCCCTCTGGGACAAGCGTGAGTTCAGTCCCACCTCTCAATATGGCTCAAGTGGAGTCAGTTTCCAACATGGAAACCTTGGGAGATCCCTTCAAACTACACAGTGTGGGCAGGGAGGACAGGAGGATATCTGGGAGGAGGGAGTCAGTGATGTGCTGATGGCACCATGAGTTTCTAGGTCTCGCTCAGTTCTGGTTTAATTTTGCTAAACTCAGACAAATCCAACAAGACACAGTCAAGGACAGCAGAGGTGCATTGCCCCTCTTTAGGATGCCCACAGAAGGGACTTTGCAGTTTGTCTCTGAGAACCTTGGCTTGCAGGGGTCTTCAAACAATTCTGTAGGCAGAAGACATCTTTAAGGAGCTCTGAAGAGCAGTGCCTTCCTCTGCTCTGAAAGCTGACACAGGGCCTGCATTCCTGTATGACATGGTTGTGCAGGGTAAAGTTCTCACCACAATAATTGTAACAGGTAGACCAAAGCTAACCTTGGGGTTCTGGGTGTAGTTCACTTTATCTGTAGACATTCCCACTGGGTAGAGTACATGGGAAAGCCCATGGTCATGGTCAAACCAACGGCCGGGTTAAGTTTGCTCAGGTCAGAAAGAGTCATTCTTTATTCAATGACAGTGAAAGTGTTGTTTACAAACTGCTGAACAGGTCAAAAATCATTTTCCCCTTTATTTCAGAACTTGAGCGCTTGATGGCACTGAGCAACGAGATAAAGAATCCCAGTAAGTAACTCCCGCTTCACACAGCCATTTGCAGACCCCGGGAAGGAGGGCTGCCTTAGGCTTGCAGCTACCAATGTAGAGGAAATGCTTATGTTGTGGAAATTTGTCTATCTGTGCCTAATCTAAACAAGACATCCAGCAGGTGCAAAGTCAGTCGCTCCTCAGCCCCCACCGTGTTTAGAGAGTTCCCACGGAGTTCACAGAACATAGGGTTTTACACATGATAACAGGCTAATTAGTCCTTTCTCTTTGGTTGCCACAATCCCAGGAATACTCCATGTTTTCACATTCCCCAAATGTCCAGCAGCTGGGCAGGCACAGTCTTACAGTCTGCGGCTGCCCTTCCTTGGAGGGTCCCTTCGTCACTGACTCACAATTTCTCTTCTTCCTGTAGCAATCCCTCTGAAGTCAGAATTGGCCTATGAGATCTTTGATAAGGGCCAGGTCCGCTTCTGGCTCCAAGCTGAGCACCTTTCACCTGATGCTAATTTCCGGTTCATTATTAATGACAGGGAAGTCTCTGACAGCGAGGTGAGTTCTAGGAGTGAGCTGTGGCTCAGAGGGAGCTGGGTTTGTAGAACTGGGAATGGGCTGAGATTAGGACAAGCTGTGTCACTGGGCGGGTCAGTTGCCCACAGGTTCTGCATTCCTTCTCACTGCTTTCTGGTCTCTAGAAACTGGGAATCAGAAGGTGGATCAGATGGCTGGAGGCTGTGGTTCTCATAGTGTGCAGAGATTTGGTCTGGGTTTGGTATGCCTTGTGTGGATTTTCAAACCTGAGTGTGTTAGAATTAACAACGAGGATCTCTATTTTAGAGACTTACAACTCAGGTTTAGGAACAGGTTCAGGTTAGATTGGGGAGTGTGTGTCCTTGAGAAATCAGTTTCTATTTTCCTGATCATGGTTCTGAATGCTGACATTTTGCTCAATTCTGGGAAATAGTTCCCTGTGTTCCTTCCTCTGACAGATCCCCATGGAAGACACCAGGTAGGATATTGGTTTTAGCAGTGTCCTGAGCCTTTCAGTTTGGCACCTTGGGGTGCTGGTTCTGGACAGAGAAAGGGGTAGGTTCTCAAAAATAGATACTTTGCTAAGATACAGGCACTTTACTCTACTGTGTGTGTGTGTGTGTGTGTGTGTGTGTGTGTGTGCATCCACATGTGTGAATTCACAACGTGATTCAAGGACAACCTTAGGTATTGTTCTTGAGGTACCTTCTACCTTTGATTGAAGACAGGGTCTCTCACTGACTTGAATGCCTCCACAGACCTGACTAGTGGCCTACGACCTTCCAGGGATCTGCTGTCTCCACGTCCTACTTCACTGTCTCTGGGCATGTCTCAGGCATGCGTCCCAACAGGCAGCTCTTTATGTGAATTTTGAAGCCCAAACTCAGGTCCTGATGCTTGCAAGGCAAATGCTTCACTGATTGGCCTCTCCCCAGCTTCCTCTTCTTTTGACTGTTTAAAAAGAATCTTGAAATTACTGCAGACCTCACTTTTGGATGTGGAACATTAGAGAAGTCATCATCTATGTTTATATATATTTCCTCTTGTCTAGTTATAGTGTGCTGGGGACCAGGCCACAGGATGGTCTGTCTTATTTTAAGATTCAGGGGTGGGGTTAAGTGGGTCACCTTCTGTTTGGCCTTAATGCTAGTGTAGTGTCTTTGACAGTTTGCCACCTAGCCCCAAGTTCCTAATTCAGTTGTCCACTGCCTAAGTGTCAGTGGGAAGCTAGAGATGACAGTCCACCCATGTCTGTGGCCACCCACCCTCTTTCTGAGCTGCACTCTTCACTTAGCTTAGCCTTGATATCTGTTGACAAAACTTCCTGGGCTGGAGGACGTCTATGAAATAAATCTTACGTGACAGGATTGTATGTTATTTAAAATCATATGATTTTAAATATCAGCCAGTCTGTCTCATGCATGTCATGGTATGCTTTAAAACTCATGCAGCTGAAGGCTGGCTAAAAGGTGGAGAGCAGGTAGACTTTTGGGGCTGCAAAAACTGGAGGGTATTCAGAGTATGTTTGGGACAGTACTGCCTGATCAAGGTAATTGGAGAAATTTTCTCTGAGCAGAGATCATGCCAGGAAAAGGAGTGGAATGTGGAGTAATTGCACATTATCTGCAGAACGTCTTTTGATTAACGTTTCCTACCCGCTGCAGAGAACGACTTCGCTGATACACAGCTAATCTTTTGGTATTTGAGTGTGCTATTTCACTTCTTTAATTAGCAGCCCACAGGTGACTTGTACATTTGAAGATTGATGCTGTTTTGTGAAAGTCACATAAAAACCTTGTATTTATGGGGCTCGTAAAATCACTGAACTTCATCTTGCTGCATAATAGCTGTATCAAGAAGCCTAATTATTTTCTAAAGCCTTCCCAGATACTGCAGCGTGGGAGCTGAGGGGCCCGCTGTGTCTTTAAGTGTCTGGTTGGGGAGACGCTACCTGTGATTTCTTGGCTAAAGTGAATTTCTATGGTTCTCAGAACTAATGGTGTTGTCACACAGATAAGGTCTGGGCATTTGTTGAGCAACTTGAAATTTATTTTTGGTATTCAAAGGACATCATTCAAGGGATGATGGAGATTCAAGGACCAGGGCAGGGGTGACTCAGTGGGCCCCTTTCCTCCTGTTCTGGTATGGTGACTGGTATGGTGACTCTTTCAAGGATGGGGACACAGTGCTGCTCCATACTTCCTGTCGTTGATATGTCCCAGAATGTTCTTTCTCAGCAATAGTCTGCAGGCTTTATCCTCTTCATGAGACTTTTCTTGATCACATTAGACATATCCATCTTCTGGGTCCCATTAAAAAAAAAATCTCAATGGTCTTCTACCAGTACAGAACATATGATGCCTGACATATTTGAAATAATATTTGGGTTTCTAACTGACAGTTAATGCTTTTGCATGTTTCCTGGAGAGTAAGGTAGGCAGGGAGGGAGATTTGATTTAGGATTTTTTAGAGGCTGAAGTTGAAGTTCCCTGTTGGGAACTTGCCTGTCCCTCTTCCTTTCCCAGTGGACAGTAGGTTGTATTTTGTTATTCTGCCATCACTCGGTCATCTCCTGCTGTAGCTAATGCAACATTATGGGCAGGAAAGGAAGACATAAGCCTTGCCCTGGTAGAGACAGCAGAAGCCGGAGAAATATTTGTTAGAACCAGAGGAAAAACAGTATCAAGGGCATGTTAAGATGGTAGGCAAATCCTCTCAGAAATCTCATCAACCCGAGAGATGATGTGGCCAGAGCAGACTCTACACATAGTGGATTGAAGCAGTGGGCCTTAAGGAGTGGAATTCAGAGGACAGGGCCACCTCTGTCCAGAGGCGGGATGTGACAGAGGCAGGGAAGTCAAGTCAAGTCTTGGGAATGCCTCAGACAGCAGGAGTTGATTAGGAGACAGAGGACTCAGGCGTTGGTGCTTAGAGATGATCTCAGGGAAGCATGGTGAGAGATAAACTGAACCACGTTGCTATTCTCCTAATGTTAGTATTTAAGTTTTTCTTGAAACACTGGCATTTGGAATATCAGAAGTGAACATTGCTTTAAAGAGAAGGGAGGCTATTGTGGAGCAAATGCACACAACTTGGAAGATGAAGGCTGGTTCTGGCTGAAAACAGAAATTCCCTGGGGATTCGTCCTACTGCGGAGTTTGTGAAGAGTGTGCCTCTGGAGGAGGGCTTCCCTCCGCTGATCCTGCCTCCCACTCACCACAATGGTTCTTTCTCCTTACCTGGTCCCCAGGCCTCACACCTTCCTGCAAAAAGTCATTCATGATTCAGTCTAGGAAGCCTTTGAAAAATCCCAGCTGGATCCCTCTGAAAGGCAGACCACCATCTGCAGGGAGTTCACAGTGAAGGGTCCTGCCTTGCTGCTCATTATGGGTGTGGGGAAGTCAAGGCAGGTCTCATGTGACTTTATGGAAGTGTCCCGAGCTGGCCATCCCTCCCCTCATCACTGCCATAGTTGAGATGTGGTCCTTCTCCATTGACCACACCTGCTTGATTTCATTATCCAAGATGGAGTAGACACCATACCATAGGCACCGTGAGACCTTCTGTTTTGGTTGTTAGCTCATTGCAGATGATGAGAGGCAGTGTGCTGGGGAAGGTCTGCTAGCGCAGTTGAAGATAACACTTTAGAGGCCACAAGGCTGTTGCTCAGGCAAGGGACCCTGGCAAAAGATGGGAGGGCTGTGCCTACTGCTGCTGGGGACCAGACACTTGGCTCAGAAACCAGGCGCACAGGGCCAGATGGGAAATGTGGTGTAAGAGTTGTGGAAGCCTGAAGTGTTCTCCCAGTGCGCTTTCAGAAAAAAGGGTGGAGAGGATGGAAGAGCAGATGAGCAGAGGCCGTCCTCCTGTGCTCTGCAGGCTGCAGTCCTGGAGCGACTGAATCACATACCTGCTTGAGGTTGTAGCCCTTTGTCCTCAGCTAAGGCAGCTGTGGCTGGGTCTTTGGGACCCTTCTCCACAAAGCTGAGAGGACTCTCGCTCTCCTGTGGAACTCTATGTAGGGCTTTGCTAGTGACTGTCATTTTATTTCCCTCCATTGATTTTGATTCTCTTACACGGATACTCACTCCCCATCTAGAACCCAGCTGTGTCGCCACTGGAACTTGGAAAGTTTGTGTTTGGTTTTTGGTTCGCCCGGAGATGTACTTGATGACATTTATTCTGCATTCCTCCATGACCAGTTCCTTCAGATAGAACGTCTCGTAACTGCGGAGAAGGGATTTCATCGTGTCACTCTCCTTGTGTCTTACGGTTCCAGATACACAGAATTAAATGTGACAGATCGACAGGCATGATTGAGATGGTGATGGATCGGTTTACTATTGATAATGAAGGGACCTACACAGTGCAGATCCAAGATGGGAAAGCCAAGAATCAGTCTTCGCTCGTCCTTATTGGGGATGGTATGTAGCAATCAACATTTTCATGTGTCCAAAAGAGATAATTCAGAGAAAATGCCTTTGAGTGGAGAGGGGCAGATGTAACTCATCAGTCTTTTCTCTTGAATATTGAATTTAGCATTCAGGGCCGTGCTAGAAGAGGCTGAATTTCAGAGGAAGGAATTCCTTAGGAAGCAAGGTAAGTAGGTAGTTTGCTCCACACTGCCGACATGAAGTGTAGACATGTTTGAAATTTGTCCCAAGCAGATCCTGTGCCACACAGATCACTCTGAAGACACCTACACTGATTAAATGCTATGCGTTCTGTATTTCAGCTGTGCAAGTTTGGAGACTCCTCTGTCTTTTACCTTTTATGGAAATTTTGCCTGTACTTCTTGCTTCTAACTTTGACCCTGACTGTCACTTGATGTCAATGTCTCTCTTTCCTTATAGTGTTTTCATCAGGGAAGCCATCTGTCTAACCAGGCTCTGGGCTGGTGGCTGACTAGCCTTCTGCTCCCTGAACATTGATAATCCTTCCTAATAGTCTTTTTTTCCCAATGTTCCTTTGCCCAAAACACGTTTATAACCCCACATAGAAGCTCCATCACAGATACCCTCTCAGCCAAATTCCCCCCACCTCAGCTGAGTACAACCCTCTGGACAAGTCAATGGACTTCCCTGACTCCCCATCAGTGCCTAGACCACTTCTTGGGTCTTGCTTCTACCACAGGTTTTCAAACAAGGCACCATTTGAATCCAACCTTTTAGAACATGCTTCTATGAAAGAAATCAGTATATACAACTGAAACCTGATTTATACTTTTGTGTTGAATGAGACAATGGTGTTTTTAATATATGACTTATCTCTATGTTTATTTAAATAGAAATGATTTCTATTTTTGAAAAACATACACAAACCCATCTTTGATTTGACAACATACATTTACAAAGTCACCAGGTCAAGAAAATTTGCCTTTGTCTCATCTCCAGTAATTGTTTCCTTTAAAGATCTTATTACTGTGCTCCAAAGTGTCCAGCTAGACACATGACTCAGGAAAGAAAATGTGAGGGGCTGGAGAGGTGGCTCAGTGGTTAAGAGGCTTGCTGCTCTTGCAGAGGAACTGAGTTCTGATCTGGCACCCACATAGAGCAACTCATAGCTGTCTGTAACTCCAGCTCCAGGGAATTGGATATGCTCTTCTGGCCTCCATGGGCACACACACACATACACACGTGCATCTATTCAGGCATACACACACACACACACACACACACACACACACACACACACATAAATAGACACGTAAATACATAAGTAACTAAATGTGAGGGGTTGGAGAGGTATCTCAGTGGTTATGAGTCTTGCTGTTCTTGCAGAGGACCCAAGTTCATTTCTTAGCATCCATATCATGTGTTTTGCAATTGCCTGTAACTCCAGCTCCAGGGGATTTGATGCTGTCTTCTGGCCCTGAGGGTATATGCACAAATCCACACACAGACATGCATACATACATATAATTTAAAATAAAATCTTTAAAGAACTAAAAACAGGGGCTAGAGAGATGACTCAGTGGTTAAGAGCACTGGCTGTCCTTAGAGAGGACCCGGGTTCCATTCCCAGCACTCACATGGTAGCTAACAACTGTAACTGTAGTTCTAGGGGATCTGATGCCTGCTTCTGGCCTCCTGGGGAATTTCATGACAATGATTCACTTATATACATGCAGGCAATACACTCACACACATAAAATAAAATAAAAATGATAAATAAAATATTTAAAAAACTAAAAATAAATAAGAGAATGTGATGTTCTCGATATTCTAAATATCTGAAGAGCCACAAATACCGCGTGCCAGCAAGGAGGGGGACTGTGACTCCCACTAGGAAAAGCAGGCTCAGGGAGGCTCAGTTCTAAGGCACCTCAGCTTTAGGACCATGAGCAACATCTTGGGTTCACAGTGTATAGCAGTTTTCTCTAGCCAAAAAAGCCTGTATCGAAAAATGTAATATAGGAATATATATACACATACATGTACATACACCCTACACCTGCATGTATGTGTATTTAATATCTGCTACAGGTGTATTTATCTATTCAGGTAATGTCTTGTTTTAAAACTTTGCCTTTTCCCCACAGGCCCTCATTTTGCTGAGTATTTGCACTGGGACGTGACAGAGGAATGTGAAGTTAGGCTCATCTGTAAGGTGCGATACCCGGTTGTAACAAGGAAACAGGTCCTCCTTGTTTCTTGAAGACTCTGGTCAGCAAGCAGTTGTGGATAGGCTCCATGGGGGAACAGAGCATGAGGTCTAGGCCTAGGCATGAATAGACAGAGACTTCTGAGTCTGGTGAACTAAGTGTCACTGACAAATTGCACCTATCATGCTGTCAGTGTGATGTCATCAGGGAATAAAAGACATGTTTGGGGAACAAATAGTTAAGTGTTATTTTTATAATTCAGTAATAAAGCAAAAGGTGTTTTCATCAATAAACCTTTAACTTGGTGACTACTGTGTGCCTGTCACCAGTAAGAGAGATAAGTGTCAATAGTATATTATTTTTGTCCTTAAAACTACTCATAGACAAATGGTAAAGAGATAATAGTAAGCAGGCAATTTCAGAAAGTTGAGGTCTTAGAGCTTCATGGGGTTATATGAGCACCAGCTCTAGGAGCCAAGGCGACTGTCTCCAGGAGACCAAGAGTAGAAACTGAACTGTACCCTTAGCCATAGTCAGACAACTGAATCAATGTGATGCACATTTTACACAATAAATATGAGGCTAGATCCAGAGCAGAGAAGGTGAGTGTGGGTTGCAAGAAGAGTCGGGGAGGATGGTGAGATGTGGGGTATGGAGCTATATAGTGAAAGAGTCAGCCCTCTACTGAACGCTAGGCTATTTACATAGGCAGCTTATGTTGGAGAGACAGCAATCTTCTTAAATGATTACCACATTTTGAAAGGTGTGTATTTGCAAATTTCTAGACATCAGCATTACAAAACTTGGCACATTAGGGGATCAGTAGCTTAGATCCAAAATCTAGCAGGGTAATTGTTATTCTGGTTTGTTCTTTTTTTCTGATCACAGCACTAGGACACACCTGTCTTCCTATACTCCAAGAATAGGGCCCGAGGTCTACTTTCTGGGGCTCTGACAGGATATTGGTGGTATATAACTTCCTATAAATATTAAAAAGTGCCGCAAGTTCCCTAACACAGAGATTCAGAAACCTTTAGACACAGATATTGAGGAACTAAAATAAATATTACTGAGATTTGAGTATTTCTCACGCATTTGGTTTGCTCGCTCATGCTCTGGTCAGTGCTGCAGGTCTGCAGAGTTTTCATTTAGTGGTCTGTGAGAGGTGGTGATTCTGAACTTATATGCATGACAAAATATGTGGAGAATGATATATGTTAGGATGTATTCATGCTTTTATAGAAAAACACTTGAAAAGGTGCTTAACAGAAACCTTAATCATAAATAGAATTAAGCATGTTGGAAGTTTGTCACACAGCAGAGAGGATGATGGGCAAACACTGTCCCTTGGGAACGGGGGTGATGTATGTGACATCTGAGGAGTGCGCTTCATACTGTCTTCTCTACATGTTTGTGTTCACATTAAGCACTTAAATGTTATAGCATGGCGGAGAGAAATTGCAGAGATCAGAGAACAGCGCAGGAGTTCTGATGGGGTGAGATCTCCCACACACAGGAGGGGGGGCACTGAGCTGTTTACAGAACCAGTGTTGAAGGGCCTTAGAAAGAGTTTGGTTTGGCACACAGGGAGTAGAGTCTTCAAATGTCTTTGATGAGCAGAGTGAACCCAGAGCAGGTAGGATGGCAGTGGCTGGTGCTGCAGGGAGGTCTCTGCCTGTGATGCATGTTCACTCATGTTTGTATGTACCTGAGAGACCAGGTGCATGGCCTCCATGTGGTCTTCAAACTCTGTGAATGACATCTCTGTGCCAGGTAGGCTTTCAACTCTGGACTAAAGAGGCAAAAGTTCCTGCTGTATGGGATTGCACTCTGGCTATCACCAGTCGAACCACCTCACATAGCTGTGGTGGGAAGTCCAAACACGTGGCATTGTCGTGGCAATGTTCCATCCCTGGTATTATGTGTGGAATTTGTATAGAAGGAGATGCAGACCTCTTGGCCTCCCACAATCCTGTGCCACCCCACATTCTGTCACACAAAGTCAGAGTGCCTTCTCCTGAAGAGACATCAGCAACAGGCACATGGACGTGGTTGCTCATGGTTGGAATCCTTTAAGGCTTAGCCTCTAAGAAGCTCGATTTTGAGGGATTTCCTCACAGAGAAGCCCTCTTTCTGTGTTTCCTTCCATCACGTCCTGGCAACCTGAATACCATGCTTTCAAAGAGCAGTCATTCAGTGCTCAGCAGACTTCTAAGAACAGGACAAAATCCAAACCCTTTGCTTAGGGCTCACTGGTGACATTTTCTATTAACCAAGTGATCTTTACGCCAACCGACTTCACAGGCCAGAATGTTGAGAGCTGTTTGTCCTCCTGGTACAGCTGTGAGGGCTTAATGTGTTTAGAAAATAGCATTCAGAAATGCATTTGCCACAGTGAGAAGTAATAGCTGTTCCATAAGCCTCATTCTGAGCTCATTGAGGGTAAAATCTGGTGGTTTCTTTAGGTCTGGGATTGACTAACCCTGAAGGCTTTTCTCTCCTGAGCCACAGTGATTCACAGGACACAGTGATTCACCTAGGACCTCTGTTTTTCAGGTTGCAAACACTAAGAGAGAAACAGTCTTCAAATGGCTCAAGGATGATGTTCTTTATGAAACCGAGACACAGCCGAACCTGGAGAAGGGGCTTTGCGAGCTGCTCATACCAAAGGTACCGGCAAGAAATGAAGCCGTAGTCTATGTAACTCGTACTCGGCACTGTCCTCCATTCTGCACTCTGAGATCCCATGGTTTGCAAAGAAAATGCATTAGTGCCTATGGCATCCATATCACAGTATTGATTTCGCATAAATATGGAATGTGTTTTATTTATAGTTGTCCAAGAAGGACCATGGTGAATACAAAGCGACCTTGAAAGATGACAGAGGTCAAGATGTATCTGTCCTTGAAATAGCTGGCAAAGGTAAAATGATACCTTGTCCTACAGTGAGATCCATTTCCTCTGTGGGGTGTTGAGGAGGCATGCTCCTGAACAACCTGGGCTGTGTTATATCTACTGAGAAGAACTCCACTCTGTCCATGGGTTGAGAGGTGATGTGGAGGCATCCTCATGCACACGCTGGATGTGTGCATATTGCCTCTGTAGCGAAATTGTGCAAGAAAATAGATTGTACTTTATTTAGCTGCATTAGGAGTTGTGTCAATGTTTTAGAGGAATGCACAATATTTCGGGCTTAGATGAAATGTCATTTCACTCCTTTATCAGAAGCCAGGTTTGATCCCTTACTAATGCAGTTAAGATGACTGAGGCTCTGATGAAGTTATTCAATTCAGTGTAAGTTTGGATTTATGATGAACAAAACGTTCTTGTTCCAAGTTTAAAAAGCGAATAGGTTAGGAGGATTTATGGCTCACATAAGCCTTTTATGGACAAATATTACCATTTTAATGTTTCATTTTTCAAATGAGTGTCATGATTTCCTGTGTCAATTTAATTAGATGTGGAAAATGCTGCTTTCTGTTGAAGTCACACCTTGTGATGGTACATTTCTCTTCTCCCTTCCAGTGTACGAAGACATGATCTTGGCGATGAGCCGCGTGTGTGGTGAGTAAAGACCTCAAATGTTCAAGTCGTGTTGGTGGCGGACACCTCTGTTTTCTGGGGTGGGCAAAGCTGATAGCCAGGGCATGCCCTGTGTCTGGTCCTGGGTAGGCAGTTGGAGGCCACTCACCTGCTCGCTCCGTGACGCTCCTCCAGATCTTTGAGACGTGAGCTCCAGGCCTGTGCTCAGCTTCAGAAGCCCTGCTGGATGTGCCCACCAGGCACTGCTCAATCTGGGCAACTGCTTGTTCAAGATCAATGTTTTTATTTAAACACTGAGCAGTGATAATGGATATTTAATGCCCTGACTTGATGTTCTGTGCATCAAACCATTTGCCTTTCCAGGGAAACTAGAAGAGCAGAGATACTGTTTATTAATTTGTAGTAGTAGTTTACATGTTAACACTGAGTAATTTTATGACTGTAGACTCTCTGAGTTTGCAGACGTGTCCAGCCTGGAGCCCACCAGCCCTATGCCACCACATGAGGCAAAGGATAGCTATGAACCTGACCCAATACAGAATCATAAACCTTCTCACAGTACTGTGAGACTTTTTGCAATTTCCCCCCGTAACTGCATTGTGTGGTTCTTACATGTGAGCCAGACACACTGTGAGTTCTGTAGATGACAATATCTTATCACAATGTCAGAAGGTTAGGCACCAGCTAGAGAGCACGCAAGTATTCTGATTAAGTAACCGAGACCTACATAGGCAGGTATCTTACCTGTGGATGCCCAGCTGGCTGAGTTGGGACCCACCCTCCCCGCACCCACCCCACCTCAACTGCTGTGCCGCACGGTTTCCTGTCGTTCTTTTGAAAAATCGCTGTATGCTTGTTTTACTGCTTTTGAAAGTAGCTCTACGAGGTAAACCTTTTGTTTTTGATTGGTCAAAGGACTACATTTTAAATGTTTTATTTTGGATGGTTTTTAGTGGGCCAAGTGCTTCCCATGGGTGTGCACGCCACTTGTGTCAGGCAAATGAAGGGGTTTAAAAAGTGGCTTTACTTTGTTTTCTTTGGGATTGATTTGTTTCTTTTCTTTCTTGTCTTTTTGAGGCAGGGTCTCCCTGTAGCCCCAACTAGCCTTGAACTCACTATATAGACCAGGCTGGCTTCCATATCATAGAATCTACCTACTTCTGTCTCCTCAGTGCTGGGATTAAAGGTGTGCACCACCACACCCGACTTGGATTTACTTCATATTACCTACCTCATAACCTGTTGGAGGACCATCTGTTGATGACAGGATTAGTCACATGTGCAGAGAGCGGGTGAATGTAACAGACAGACTTCACATGGTGCTGATGAGGGCTCTCGACTCCACTGCCCGAGGCAGAGACAGGCACATTTTATGGGTGGTTAGGTGGGGCTGGGAAATAGGCACAGAAGTTACCACTCAACAGACAACCTTCACTGTCCCCTGATGTTTTTGTGCGACACTTCAGGAGGATGGAACAGAGCGCAGATGTCTGAGAGCGGGGATTACAGGTGTGAGCTCCACTCCAGCTTCGGCTGACGCCTCCCTTTTGTGGATTTTCTATCCTGCTTCAGCTCTGGATTGATCAGTGTTGCATTTTGCACATGCCGTTGTTACTATTTTGCCTTGCCATGTAAGTCACCCTACTAAGGGGCAGACACGGATTGTTTCAAAAACCTGTGCGTATCTCACAGTCTTAAGCAAAGGGCTTTTCAAAGGATTCTGGTGTGGCAAATGTGTATAATAAAAGCATGGGGCACAGGAATGAGGCCGGGGAGTCTGGCTATGACGGACGGGAGTCTGCACACACCTGAGGTTGCTGGTGAGGATGCCATGGACAACTCGCTACACTGTCGGGCCGTGGCCCTGTTCTGTGACAGAGACACGTTCTGCTTCCCGGAGGTCTGACATACTTTGTCTTCTGCAGGAGCCTCTGCCTCACCACTGAAGATTCTCTGTACCCCCGAGGGGATCAGACTTCAGTGTTTCATGAAGTATTTCACAGACGAGATGAAGGTCAACTGGTATCACAAGTGAGTGTAAGAGCAGGTGCCTGTGGCCGTGGCAGCCCAGGGCTGGATGGCCCCCATCCTCTGAACTTGGTAGTTCTAAGCAATCATGGCAAGCTTCACCTGGGTGGGGCCGTGGGGTAGGGAGGGACTGGGTGAGGGAAGTGCCAAAGGTCTTATAGCTTCCTCAGGTCTGCTCACCAATGGCGGCCCCACTCAAAGCCCTTTCACCTCACAGTGAACAGACCGTGAAGGGGACAGTACTGTTCAGAGACCAGCTCCAAACTTCTGTCCAGCGGCTCTCTTACTGGACTTGGCTAAGAAGACAAAGACCCAAAGGAGCCCATTCATTAAAATAACAGAAGGCCCAGGTGAAGCCTGTGTAGACTAGCACACACCGGTGCCAGTCATGTCCTGTAGGTGGTTATGACACAGCTCCAAACAGCTGCCTGTGGAGATGTCCCTGTGAGCCACAGCACAGACAGACCCTGCTGCTGGGGCTCTGGCTCTTCATGTCTGTGACCAGCTCACAGGGGAGGCCAACCAGAGCAGGACCGAATCTCAGAGTGAGAGTGTCACGGTCAGGGTCATAGAACACATCCCTGCAGGTCACGCTAAAGGGGAGGGTACATCTGTGGAGTAGAGAGAGCAGCTCTGCCTTCCTGTCCATCTCGTCTTGAGCCCATGGGCCTGAGGACATCTTGTTGGGCCATTTCTCAGTGGGGTCCACAGTCAACATGCTGACCCCTGTGATCCCCATGTGCCTTCTGATACAGTTTAAAAAGAAGCTCTGTGGTCATGATCATTTCATTTTTAAAAGTAGTGTTTTGTTTAGGTAAATCTATTTATCTACTTGTGACCAACTGCAGTTCTGAAAGGAAACATGCTTTGGGGTTTCCATTTTTCCTATTCAAATTTTGACACAGTGTGTGTATGTTTGTCTTATGTGTTTTGCTCGGAGTCATAAACAAGGGCACCCATGCCTTAGTGGCTGTGTTGGATCCTGGTCTTTGCCCTTGGGGTAGAAGTCTGGATCAGGGTCTTCACTGGGAATCCACGTGGGGAGCTCATTAGGAAGGTGCGATACAAGCTGGTGGCTGAAATGCCGGTACACTTGTGTGACACATTTGTTTGCCGAGTCACATTTTTAAGACCCCGAGTCACGTGTTTCCGGATGAATCAAGCCATCCTCTGGGATGGGGGAGTCTGTCACGCCTCCTCTGTGCCTCATTGTTACTTACTGTGGCTGGCCCTGCAGTGAGCTGTGCGGAGTCCCTGTGTGTGCTGGACTCGGGGTTGCGGGGCATGGCCATGCCAGGGAGAGGCTGCCCCTTCATCGTATTATCACAAGGGCATGCCCTGTGCAGTGACTGAACACACCACATACCCGCATGAACACACAGGTGTGTGGATATGTGTTGTACTGGCATTCTTGTACCTTGCAGGTGATTTTGTGTTAAACACTCACCACATTATTTCATGTAATTCACACACACACACACACACACACACACACACACACACACCCTGTGACTTAGGCATTATTCTCCCCACTTTAGAGAGGCTGACACTGACACCTAAGGTCAACATGGAAATAGTTTTGTTCAGAGTCATGTAACTCATGTGTGGCGAGAAAGACACCGGCTCCTCTGAGCCCCACCACTGCCCCCTGAGAGGCAACAGGCTTGCTGGGGATCAAGGACAGACAGACAGACAACAGGGGACAGGCATTTTGTGACCCATCCTTGGAGAAATGAGAAACCACAAGGGAAGGAGGGACTACAATACACCCCAGACTCATAACAATAATATTGCTTCTGTTTCCTCTAAACAGAATTTGTCATGCAACAAAATCTACTTCTTCAGTACTTTTCAACCCAAAACACGTCTAGATCTCAAACTGGTACTAAAAATATCTGATTCGATATTGAAAAATATTAAATGATATTTTAGACTGTATGTTGAACCGTATTGAGAGATTGCATTTTATCACTGAAATGTGGCTCTTGGTGCAATTTTACTTTTGGCTGCTAAGCGAGTTCTTAGGAAGACCCCGGATGGAGGAACAACATAAAAGTCTGATGAGGTATAAGGGAGACTTGGAGGCAAAATCAGGCTCTTCCCAGAGCTGGGCATGCTGGCATGGAGCTGTAGGGGAGTCAGCCACTGAGACTTGTGCTGTGGACATCAGAGGGGACTGTGTCAATGGATCACATTGAATCAATAGACCAGCACAGTGTGAGATCCGCAAAATCTGAACGTAGGCAAAGGACAGTTGTTCTTTGCTTAAAAATGACAAGTCTTATGTCAAGGAATGTGGAAAATGCCACTTAGGAAAGGGCTGGAAATCTATCCCACATGAGTCTGAAGCAGACTGAAGGGAACTCAGCAAAAAACGTCCTAAGGATCTTGTTTTCCTGCTGGAGGGTGAGACTAACCCATCATGCAGATGTGGCTATGTAGCCGAGTATCAACCACTTAAAACACAGAGGAATCCCAGCCACTTAAGGGTTTTCTTGGTGTTATGATAGGAAAAAAAAAAGCTAGCATGCTTTAACCTTGGGTTATGTGTTCCCTCAGCCTGGGAGACCTCACCCACAGAGGTCACGTTAGACAAATGCCCCTAGAATCTCAGTGGGCCCCAAACCACCTGAAAGACAAGAGGTGCCTTCTGTTGCATCCATCTCTGCTCTCAGAGTCCTAGAGGAGGGTAGTTCTGGGTGAAGGGCTCCAGTGGGGCGCTGAGGAGGCAGGCAGGCAGGTTCTCTGCCACCCTGGGGAGGGCTCTCAGCTGCTGTGACCTGTAATGGGCTGGGGCGACTTCTAGCTACCTTGAAGAAAGCGCAAGCCTCTGGCCCTCTGTCATGCTCAGGCTTAGACTGTCCAAGGGGTGGGTGCACATGTGGAGTGCATCCCCAGCTGTGCGCTTAGCCCTCCAGCGTGCCCCATCCTTCTCTGCTGCTTTCTCCAGTCCAGATGCAGACAGTCCCCAGTTAGGGATTTTTCTCAGCATCCACATCTCTCTCACAGGGAATAGAACAGAATCTGGGTGGAGTTCATGTGAGCATCTGTCATACCAGGAAGTTCAGAAAGTCTTACTCTCCAACCTGGATATGTGTCTCTATGTATATCCCCGTGAGTTCTCCCCTCTCAAGGGCACCGAGCCCTCATGCCTCCTTCTGCCAGCGGTGTTCTGATAGGCAGGCTCTGATGCTACATCTCATCCCTGCCTGGGTGGCTCTTCCATGGGGCCTTCCAGCCTCTTCCCTCCCCTACCTTCATCCCCACTGCTCTGCTCTCACTGTGCATGTCACTTTCTGTTCTGGATGGACGTGCTCTGTGTTCCCACATTATGAGTGTCGCCCACCAGAGCTATTTCACGGGGAGGAGGGCTGGAGAACTCCATTCCATAGTTGAATAATCAGTGGCCAGAAAGGGTAACGCAAATAATATAAACTCATGACCAGTTGTCTGCAAAACCTGACCAGCCAGCTTTTCCAAGTTCTCAGTTCACTGGAGTTGGTTCATGACAGAAGCAAGCCTGTGCTTTCTCTGTGTGGCCTCGAGCTCTGTTCTTGTGCCCCTGACTGTGACACCTACAAGTTGTTCACATCTGTCTGCAAATTGGAGTCATGTGAAAATGACTTACACACATGCACTAGGTGTATAACTTAAGCACATATAGACACTAAGCAGGTCACTTGACAACTGGTAAGTGTGGTGTAGCAGTCTGTGCCTTGGAGGACAGGGCTGGTATTGGGTGCTCTATTCTTACTTGTATCATAGTTGGAATACAATATATATATATATATATATAATATAAAGTTGAGAATTCCAACCATTTATTAGTGTGCAGCACAACTATGCTGTATAGGACCATCTCTGCCACCCATCTCTAAAGCCCTCATTGTATAAAATGGAATGCTGTCCTCTCCACCGGTTGCGCCCTAGCTCCTGCCTCCTGTCTTCTGTCCCTGAATGTGGCAAATCCGGGGACCTCTGATTTGTGGAGATGTGTCTGTCCTCTTGTGATGACTCATTTCACCTTGCGTAATGTCCTTGGGATTCTTGTGTGTTGTAATGGGTCACTTTCCTTCCTTGTTAAGGATCAACAACATTCCACCATAGGCTGCAGTTTATTATCCATTCACCCACTGGCTGTTGTAACAACGCTGCTGCAGTTGTGGCACACCCGTATCCAAGTCTTTCAGCTCTTTTGAGCTGAGGTAGGCTTTCTGGGTGGGGTCATAAGTTCCATACTTAATGTTCTTAGGAACTGCCATATTGTATTGTATATCCAGAAGTCCTTGTGTTTTGACAAGGATATGTTGAATACAATATATCTGAAAATCAAGAATCATTTGGCTGTAGGAGTTTTAAGGCTTGAGTTACTGATGTACTTGCCACATGAGCATGTAGGCAAGACCCTCCTCACCCAGATGTGAGGTGGGTAGATTCCCCTCACTCAGATGGGAGCTAGTGGATAGACCCTCCTCCCTCAGATGGGAACTAGCTGGTAGACCCTCCTCACCCAGATGTGGGCAGGTGGGTAGATTCCCCACACTCAGATGGAAGCTAGTGGTTAGACCCTCCTCCCTCAGATGGGAGCTATGGGTAGACCCTCTTCACCCAGATATGCTGGCATCCTCTTTTAGGTTATGAGTGTAAGATCCAGAGGCTGAACTGAGCATGTCCCTGTCGCTTTGTAGAGAGGCTAAGATCTCATCCAGTGACCACATGCGTATTGGTGGGAGTGAGGAGATGGCGTGGCTGCAGATCTGTGAGCCTACAGAGAAGGACAAAGGAAAGTTCACGTTTGAGATTTTCGATGGTAAAGATAAGCACCAGCGTTCACTGGATCTCTCTGGCCAAGGTAAAGGAAGTGTGCCTTAGCACCCCACACTCAGTGACCATTGACCCAACATAGATGCTGGAAAGGAAAGGGGTGCACCAAATAATCCATCTGTGTGATTTTCATTCAGAGAACATTACTTAAGAAAGATAATTTTATTTGACTACTCGTCAGTTCTCACTAACCTGATTATCTAGTAGGACATCCGAGTGGATGGGCTAAGCAGAGTGAATGACACAAAATGTTCTTTTGCAGCTTTTGATGAAGCGTTTGCAGAGTTCCAGCAACTCAAGTAAGACCTGCAGTTTGTTTCCCTCACGTTGGATGGGTGGGCGGACGGGGTTACCTTTGCTATGTGCAGGGTCATCTCTTGTGATCTCAATGGTGTGCTATTCCTGGGATGAAAATAGCATTTTAACTAATTCAGTAGGTAGCAGGGTTAACAATTTTTCTAAACTAGAAATGTGTCACGTCTTAACTTTCTCGGGTCATCAGAACCCTGGATTACCATAAATGATCAAATGATAGATTTCTGAAGTCATTATAATCTAGACAAAATGTCATACAAATCAACTTTCAAAGAATGCTTTGGGTTTTCAAATGAATGTCTCACAGAGTATTAAAAGCTGAGGAGTCCTTAAATGTTACTGATCATTCAGGATATCTTTGTTAAGTGGTATGTGGACAAGTAAAATAAATCAGAAATGGACAGTTTAAAGTAAGTACCTAGGACTGGGGGATGGCTCAGTTAGGGAAGGGCTTTTTGTGCAAACATGAGAACCCGAGTTTGGATCCTAGTTTTTTTTATTTTTGTTTTTTTGAGACACGGTTTCCTTGTAGCCCCAGCTAGTCTGGAACTCACTATAGAGACCAGGTTAGCCTCTATCTCATAGAGATTCACTACAGAGATCCTTTATCTTACAGAGATGGCTTTGCCTCCTGAGTGCTGGAATTAAAGGTGTGCACCACCACACCTGGCTCCAAGTTTGGATCCTTAGAACCTTTGTTAACAAAAAGAAACAGTGTAACAGTGAAACTACAGGTTCAATGTCTCAAAAACAATGTAGACATCAATTGAGAAAGTTCATGTCAACCTCTGGCGTGTATACACACACACACACACACACACACACACACACACACACACACACACGTCTTTAATGTAGTCTAGTGAATTTGGTGAAAAATAGCCTCTCCAGTATGGGAGTTCGCATACTAATCCTCATAGAGTTTTAGGAAGTTGGTGACAGGTATGTCACAACCCAAAATAGGCTGTGAAAAATACCTGGACAAACATATTACCTACTCTCTGCATGGGTATAGATTCCGCATTGTCATATGCAAACACAATTTGAAAATGTTGCACAGTGGCGAGCCCTATGGACATTTTCTTTCATAATTCCTTAAATAATATAGTGAAGGAACTCTTTACAAAGCATTTACATTGCATTGGGTATTATAAGAAACCTAGAGATGGCTGAAAGCATCCAGGAGGATGAGCACACCTCATGTGTGAATACACATTCATCTAAGGGACTTGCACATCTACAGATTTGCTTTGGGGGTCAGCCCTGGAACCAGTCTCCCTTGGACACAGATGGGGGAATGAGTTCATAGACACATGTCTTCAGACCTCAGGTCCCAAGTGTTCTAAGAGAAGCACAGGTGTTCCCTTCTTTGCTTTTACTGCAAGCAAACTTGTGGTGCACTTTTGACAGTAGTATTTCTCTTCTCTCTCTCTCTCTCTCTCTCTCTCTCTCTCTCTCTCTCTCTAGGGCAGCTGCATTTGCGGAGAAGAGTGAGTACTTGTTAGATGATGAGGAGGATGGGGGGGGCCAAGGGCACAGGTGTCACAGGCTGATAGAGTGTATCAGATAACAGCCAGCATCCCTGGCTTCTGGCCCTTCCAGGCTTCCTTCTCACCTGCCCCTTTCTCCTTGCCTGCCAGCTGCCCTTGCAAGATCCTGTCCCCTAGACACCAAGACCCTTTCCCTTCGGACAAGGTCCTGGATGGGGCTCTCTCTGCTTAGCTCCTTCATACAACCTCCTCCTCAGCTGACTCTCATCCCCATTTCCTTGGAGCCACTCATCCCCGCAGAGTCAGCTGTTCCTCCTCCGTGGCCCCAGTGGTAGCTTTCTCCACTGAGAAAATAACTTTCTCTTGGTACCCTCTGTTGGGTACATGCATACCCCTCTCTGATTTCACCTCAGTGCCACATGGTCAGGCACATGCCTCCCGCAGTTGCAGCCTGATAATGGCTCCTCAAACTAGCTTTTTCCTGTTGCAGATCGTGGCAAGGTAATTGGCGGCTTACCTGATGTGGTGACCATAATGGAAGGCAAGGTGAGTGCAGACTCAAGTCTGGGGTGAGTACGGTGATGCAGCCCCCACCTCAGGGTAGGGCAGGGGGACCCTGAGAGCTTCCCAGGGCACTCATATCTGCCCCACCCCGCTGTGATTTCTACCCTCCTGTCTCTGTACCTCTGATAATCCCTGCAGACAGAGAGGGTGAGGTAGCTTAATATTCAAGGTCGGGTGCAGCTCAAGGTAGGGTAGCATGTTCGGCTAGCACGCTTGAGATACTCGGTTTCATTCTCAGCATTGGGAAGAGAAAAAAAATCCACAAAATTTGGTATTTGGAATCCTCATGTACCTTTGAGGCTATAGAACTTGTTCTGCAACACAGTGACTTGTTCTAAGGACCTTGATGTCCACAGGGTCTGATGTCACTTGGTTCTGGGGCTTCTCTGAATGAGGAGGTGTGCCAGCCCCCATCTCCCATGAAGCTGTGTGCCACCACATTTGAATATGAACAGCTTCAACATTTAATATTTTTTATTTATAATTTTATATTTTATGTGTATGAGTGTATTGCATGTAGGTAAGTGCACCCATGTTGTGCAATGCCCGAGGAGGACAGAAGAGGCCATTGGATTCCTTGGAACTGGAGTTACGGACAGTTGTTAGTTGCCATGTGCTGGGTGCTGGGATTCAAACCTGGGTCTTCTGTAAGAACATTCAGTGTTCTTAACTGCTGAGCCATCTCTCCAGCCCTGAACAACTACAACTTTTATAAGATGAAAGAAAAAGAAAGAAATAAAGAAAGAAAGAAAGAAAGAAAGAAAACCCTCGATCCAGCTCACAAGGTCATTTTGGAATCTATAATGGAAACTACTTATTGGAGTATTAATTTGTCTCCTGTCAGCAGAGTTATTGATATCTAATTGGCACTTCTCCAGCTGCTCCATGCTTGGCAATGTCAAAAGGACTCGTGTATTTGAAAGGACTTTATTAGACCCAAATGCAAAATTTATAGAACTTCTCTTTAGCAGCTAGCAAAAATCCAGGGAGCCTTGAGAGAAAATAACTGGACATCACAAAAGCTGTGATGGAGAAATTAACAATCGCAGGCTGAAAGTGTGCAGTTGCTACATCTGAGTTATTGGGCACAGACAATGTATTTTCTGGATTTACTAGAAGAACTGGGAAGACAGATCCCTGTTTAAATATAAAGGAAGTTTAGATGCTGGAGAAATCGCTCAGCAGTTAAGCGTGTATACCACTCTTGCAGTTGACCCAAGGTCAGTCCCCAGAACCCATGTTGAGTAATTCAGAACCACGTGTAACTCCCTTCCCAGGGGTCCATCTCCTCCTTCTGGCCTCTGCAAGCACCTATACTCACTCATGTGTGCAAACCTACACACAGACACACATGTATACACATAACTAAAAATAAATCTTAAAGAAATATCCTTAAATGTAAAGGAAATTTAGAAACAGGCTGAATATATAAACAGCAAGCTAATCACCTCCCATGTTTAACCCACTCAGGCGCAGATTAGAACTTGGAGTAAGCAGAACACTTTCTCTAGGGTTCCTTGTGAAATACCCATAATGCAAGGCTCCTCTGCCCCCAGCTCCCTTTGCTACTGTGTCTGTGAAGGGCTGTTGACTGACTAAATGACCAATAGGTATCACAAGTGTGACTGGGCTGCCACCCCTGAGAGCAGTGTGGCCTTTCCTTTCTCAACGATCACTTTAAAATTTATTCTTTCAAGATTCCATGCATGCATATGGTGCATCTTGATCATAGCCAGCCCCTACTCCGTCCCTCTAACTCCTTTTCCAACCGCCCTTCCCCACCCCCCTCTTTCCTCTGAAGACCTTGAACCTCACCTGCACGGTGTTTGGAAATCCTGACCCGGAAGTGGTCTGGTTCAAGAATGACAAAGACATTGAGTTGAGCGAGCACTTTGTGGTGAAGGTGGAGCAGTCCAAGTACGTCAGCATGACCATCCAGGGGGTGACTGCCGAGGACTCGGGCAAGTACAGCATCAATGTCAAGAACAAATACGGCGGGGAGAAAATCGACGTCACTGTCAGCGTGTACAAACACGGAGAAAAGATCCCAGACATCTCGCCTCCCCAGCAGGCCAAACCCAAGCTCATCCCAGCGTCCACCTCCTCGGAATGAGGGACTCCCCTCCAGCCTGGAGCGAGGGGAGGAAAACGTGGACGACATAGAAACGCTGTGTGCTGTGCTGAGCGGGTGCCGGTTCTGAGTGATGTCATGTGTGGCAGCTGGGTGACTGCGCATTAGGCTTCTGAGTTTTGCAGTTGGTGATTCAAATTTTATGTGTAAGGGAAGAGATCATGTTTCCACAAGGCTAAAAAACTCGTGTGAGTCTCAGTGTAGACGGCAGCAGGTTGAGGAGTGAGCTGAGAGAGCAGCTGATGTGTTCAGGGTCATGGGCATGTGGAGTGATGCCCAGATGGGTCTAGCATGTGATGGTCTGGGTGAGGTAGCCACCTGCCTGTGGGTGACGCTGGGGCCTGCAGGAGGTTGCTCTGGAATCTGCCTGTGGAGCCCGTTACCTGGTTACCCTGTTTTCTCTTGCTTTAGGCTAATAAAACTTTAAAAGGCACCTTGCTGTGATTTTCCAGTACCCAAATCCAGCCTAACTACATGTTCCTCTCCTGGCTTGTTGAATTATGGGGTTTCATTCAGCTGTGGCTTGTGGACCTTGGCTCACATCCAGAGAGCCAGTCATGGGGAGATGCACACTCGGGGACAGCCCCTGCAGCTCCAGCCACTGGCAGATGGCAGAGAGGCCCTATGCTCCGCTGGACAGTCCTGAGAAGTGTTCATCCTGTGAGGCTCTCAGGCCCGGGATTTAGAGACTTTGTAGAGGACAGCAAGTTATGCCCACAGCTTTGCTCTGTTCTATCATGCTAACCAATTAGGAGGAAATTGCTAGGGGGAGAAGCAGCTCATTGGAAAAGTGGACTGCAGAGTGCCGTGGAAACAAATGAAAGCTCAGCTGAGGAAGCCTGACTCTGGGAGGGGATGAAGATGCACGGGATGGGTGCCATCTTCCTGTTTTGGAAAGAGACTGAAGTTTCTCTGGCACGAAAAGCCCTGCTGTAGTGTAGAAGGTGCCTTGTGGCAGAATGAGCTTTGTCAGTTAAGGACGTTTTGTCTTTTGGGTCATTAGAATCTGTATTACTTTTGCTGTGACCAAATACATGGACGAAAGCAGCGTGGAGACTAGGCTGATGTCCAGTCACAGTGTGAGCGAACAGTCCACCATGGTGGGGAGGCTGATGTCTAGTCACAGTGTGCGGGAACAGTCCATCATGGTGGGGAGGCTGATGTCTAGTCACAGTGTGAGGGAACAGTCCATCATGGTGGGGAGGCTGATGTCCAGTCACAGTGTGCGGGAACAGTCCATCATGGTGGGGAGGCTGATGTCCAGTCACAGTGTGCGGGAACAGTCCATCATGGTGAGGAGGCTGATGTCCAGTCACAGTGTGCGGGAACAGTCCACCATGGTGAGGAGGCTGATGTCCAGTCACAGTGTGCGGGAACAGTCCATCATGGTGGGGAGGCTGATGTCCAGTCACAGTGTGCGGGAACAGTCCACCATGGTGAGGAGGCTGATGTCCAGTCACAGTGTGCGGGAACAGTCCACCATGGTGAGGAGGCTGATGTCCAGTCACAGTGTGCGGGAACAGTCCACCATGGTGGGGAGGCTGATGTCCAGTCACAGTGTGAGGGAACAGTCCATCATGGTGGGGAGGCTGATGTCCAGTTACAGTGTGAGGGAACAGTCCATCATGGTGAGGAGGCTGATGTCCAGTCACAGTGTGCGGGAACAGTCCACCACGGTGAGGAGGCTGATGTCCAGTCACAGTGTGAGGGAACAGTCCATCATGGTGGGGAGGCTGATGTCCAGTCACAGTGTGCGGGAACAGTCCATCATGGTGGGGAAGCTGATGTCCAGTCACAGTGTGAGGGAACAGTCCATCATGGTGGGGAGGCTGATGTCCAGTCACAGTGTGAGGGAACAGTCCACCATGGTGGGGAGGCTGATGTCCAGCCACAGTGTGAGGGAACAGTCCATCGTGGTGGGGAGGCTGATGTCCAGCCACAGTGTGAGGGAACAGTCCACCACGGTGAGAAGGCTGATGTCCAGTCACAATGTGAGCGAACAGTCCATCATGGTGGGGAAGGCACCGGGGCAGGGGTGTGAGAAAACTGCCCACGCTATAGCCAGGAAGCAGAGAAAGGTGAATGCTGGTGGCTCAGCTCCCTTTAAAAAATATGCAGTCCAGGCTGGAAAGATGCTCAGCAGTTAAGAGCATTGGCTGCTCTTGCAGAGGACCCGGGTTCAAATCCCAGCACCCACATGGCTGCTAACAATTGTCCAGTTCCAGAGGATCCGACACCTTCTGACCTCCATGGGCATTGCACGACATGAGTGCACTTACATACATGCAGGCTATACACTCATACACATAAAATAAAAATAATAAATAAAATATTTAAAAAAATATATATGTAGTCCAGGACCCCAACCCCTTGAATGGTGTCCCCCATGTTTGGATCTTCCCATCTCAATCAACCGAATCTTGAAACTCCCTCACAGGCATGCCCAGAGGTTTGTTTCCTAGGTGATTGTAGATCCTGTTAGGTTGATAATAAATATGACCATCACAAAGGCCAGTCAAATGTTAGTGCTTTCTAATACTTCTCTCAGTGTGTAAATTTCAGTCCTGAAATTTACACATGTCCCTAACAGCACAAAGGCCTGTTTCCTGCTGTGGCAAAGGGTACGCCAGAAAGGGTTTTGTCAGTCATTTTCTCTTCTCTGCCATGCAGGTAGACTTCACCTGGGTTCGATTTATCTTGTGTTCCAGGGCACCTCCAGGAACACCCTTGGAGAGGGCAGGGCACAGACACTGCTCCATATGGAACGACTTTCATCCTGTTAGGCAGAGTTCACTGGCTTTCAGTTTAGACAGACTTTTTTTATTTATCAGTTCTGGTTCATAAGAAATAATTGTAATGCCTGTGACTATCTTAACCACATATTTTAAAAACAGGCTTTTTTAAAAAAGAAGTTTTAAGTTCACAGAAACATTGAGAGTGAGGGTCAAAATACTTCATATCTCTGTGTCCTACTTGTGTTGTTTTCTTCAAAATGAAAATGCCTGCAGAGTGGGATTTATACCGTGATGCTCGAATGACAGCATCAGCACCCAAAGCCACAGCGTGTGGCAGCCTTTGCTGTTGGTGGTGTCTGTCCTGTGGAGTACTAGTCCATTTTCTGTTACTGTAATGAAATACACAAGGCTTGATAACATAGAGAAAAGAGGTGTGCTGTGCTCCTGGTTTTGAAGTTTGAGGGCACGGTGCCCACATCCGCTGATCTGGTGGGAAGCCCATGGTGATGGTGTCTTGACGATAGAAGGACACTCAGAGATCATATCAGGCCAGAACTCAGCAGGGGACTTTTATAACAATTCGCTTTAGAAGAGCACTAACCAGCGATCCCAGAAGAACTACCCACAGGGCTGGGAGAAGGTTTGGTAGGCAAGGTGCTTGTTGCATAAGTGTGAAGACCTGAGTTTGGATCCCCAGTGCCCATGTAAAAGCCGAGTGTGGTGGCATGAGCCTGTCACCCCAACACTGAGTGGAGGATGGGAAGGATCTGAGACAGGTGGATCCGGGGACCTTGATGACCAGCTAGTCTGGCTTAAACAGTGAGTCGTAAGTGCCAGTAAGAGACCCTGTCTCAAAAAAATAGAGAGAGCAACCGAGGAAGATGTCTGATGCTGACTCCTGGCTACGCACACACCTGCATCTCTCTGAGGAGACACCCCATGCCCTTCACACCTCCACTGGGTCCCAGCCCTTAAGCACCCACCACTTCTCAGTATTACTCCCTAGGGGACAAACTCAGTCATGAGCCCTGGTGGGACTTACCATTCAAAGCACAGCACTGGGGTTGACATGCATGTGAGAGCCTGTGTCCACATCTGCTGGCCACCACATCCTTCTGGGCAGTTTCTTCAGCCTAAAAACCCTTTCCAACACCCAACAATCACCAATGGCTTTATTAGGTCACCATAGGTTTTCTTTTTGAACAATTTTAGAAATGCGCAAGGTCAGGAGGACAATTTGGGTAGTTTCACACCCTCCTGCCACTCGCTGATTGACAGCTCACATTTCCATGGCCCATTGACACCAGTCAAGGAACCAACGTTGGCCCAGTACTGTCTCCTCAGCTCCTCGTGGTGTTTGGAGTCACTGGTTTTCCGGACTGCGGCTTCCTGTCCAGAGTCCCGCCCACGACACTGGTCTAGTTGTCACTACTTCCCAGTCCTCTGCTCGGTGATTCTTCATCTCCGTGACTTTGACGTTCTGAGTTCTCCTGGCAGCACGTGTGTGGGTGACCTTTCCTCATGAGTAGAACCCAGGTCCTGTGTGTGGCTTCAGGAGGAAGCATCACAGAGCCCCAGGGTGCCCGCTATGCCTCTGCCACACCACCCTGAGCTTCCTCATTGCTGAGGTGGTGTCGTGGGCTCCTTCACTGTGAAGTTGCTGCTGCTTTGCCTCCCAGTTTCTTGTGTGGAAATGAGTCTCAGCTCAGTCCCTCTGAGGAGAGAAGGTGTGGAGTTAAGCCACCTGTCGGAGAAGGAATAGTTACACATGTTATTTGGAATTCTTTTGCAAGAATCTTCCCTCCCTCCCTCTGTCCCTCTATCCCTCCCTCCATCCCCCCTCCCTCCGTGCCTCCCTCCCTCCATCCCTCCTTCCCTCTCTCTGTCCCTCCTTC